CCTTCAGAATGACATTAGAACCTTGAAAAACTTTATAACTCCGTCTCCACCGTAATATTTCATACCTCTACTATCAAGCAGACTCAAAGATATCAAATTCTTTTCCATTGACGAGACATGGCTGACATCGTTCAGTGTACAGAATCTACCATCATGAGCCCTGATCTTTATTGAGCCTATCCCAACAACCTGACTAGTAGAACTGTTAGCCATCTTGATGCAACCATTTTCTACCTGTGTATATATTGAGGACTACTCTCTTCTTGGACACATATGATATGACGCTCCAGTATCCATAATCTACACATCAGAGTCATGATTCTTTCCATCAGTAACCAGAGCAAATTCATCTTCTTCTGACTTGGTGTCTTGTTCTGCTACAGCAGCAGACCCAGATTCTGCTACAGCAGCAGATCCAGATTTCTTCAACTTAGGACAATCAAACTTCCAGTGCCCTTTCTCCTTATAGTAATTGTAGATATAACCTGGTTTAGGACCCTTAGAAAACGACCTACTGTTTCTGTTCTTCTTGTTCTATCCCACACTGTTGCTGCCATTCGCTACTAACCCTGAAGCTTGATTATTTGTAGTTGTACCAGTCGTCTGATGACGCAACGCTCTGCTGTGAAGAGCTGATCTGAGTTGTTCCAAAGTAATTGTAACTTTATTCACTATGAATGACTCCACAAAGTTATCATATGATAGTGGTAAAGATACCAAAAAAAGCAACGCAACATCTTCATCTTCAACCTTAACATCACTATTACGCAGGTCAAGTAATATTGAGTTCAAGTCATCTAAATGATCTTTGAGTGGCGTACCTTCTTGCATCCTCAGTGCAAAGAAGCAACGTCTAAGCAGCAGCTTGTGCTTTACAGACTCTGTCATATACAAACATTCTAACCTTTTCCATAACTTAGTAGTAGTAGTTTCACCTGAAACTTCAACAATGACTTCAAGGCACAACATGATTGTGGAATGTGCATTCTCATCCATGAGAGCCATCTCAACATCATCACCCTTCCCCTTGCTGTCTTTCGAAAAGGGTGCCCATAATCCATGTTGCTTTAACAGAGCTTGCATCGTAATGTGCCACAGACTGAAACTGTTTTTCGAAGAAAACTTATCGATCTTCACGTTCATCACAGACATCTTCTCACAAAAATTTCAACAGTGGAATTCCCAAAACCGTAATCTGCACTAATCTTCTTCTGCACGGATTCTGCACTATTCTTCTTCTGCACTGATTTTGCACGAAACCGATTCGACTTGAAAAATCGCACGAACGCTGAACGAAGAACACTTTTGCTCTGACACGGACTTTGCACGAATCTGAAAACTGTCCGAAATTTTCACGATTCAGAAACTACACAAAATTCGCACGAACAATACAGAAAGAAAAAACCTTGTGCTCTGATACCAGTTTGTTATAACTGATGTGAGTAAAATAGCATAAACGTAAGAACACAACACAAATTTAACGTGGTTCACCAACACTTGATGTTGGCTACGTCCACGGGCAAAGAGAGACTTTTTTACTGGAGAAACAACAAAATATTCAGAATACAATAAGAGGCTAGGTTAACGAGAATACTTATAGGGAATAGTCTAGGAATAAATCCTAGTTAACCAAAACGGATTGGGCCTAAAGTCATGGGCCCAATCCTATTCAAGTCATATCCAACACATGACTTGTTCTTATGAGCTTAAACATGATTGGTTGAGGTCTTACTTCTTGGATCTTCTAAATAACTCTCCAAGGTTCAACACGTAACTTCATTCCATCTGACCTTACATTGAGAATTCTTGGTTGTTTATGATTCTCTGCCTCAAGAGTTGATTGCTCTGTTTTCTTTATCTATACATGTAGTTGTACCAGACTTGTTCACTTCATTGTTCACTTCTACTGTGTATGTATCCGGTTGCACAAACATCAGACTTGCTCACTATATCAGTATTTTATTGCATATACACCAGACTTGTTCACTACATTTGGAAGGTTACACCTGAATCAGCTCAAAATCGATACTCAGAACGCTTTAGGTAATATCTTGTTTAGTTTTTAAAATTGATTTATAACTGCATACGGTTACAATAATCATTCAAATTTACAATATTGTATATTTTATTGTGTAGCGGAAATTCAACTGGGAGACTGGGATAACTGAGCTTGTGAGAGAAAATTTTATTAGAATTGCCAAAAGAAGGATGAAGGGAATTATGAGCCAAGCAAAGAACAATGGTGTGAGACCAATCTAGACTGGCCCAACGCTTTGGGACAAAATGGTAGAGCATTGGAACACTCTTGATCCTATGGAAAAGAGCACTAATGCTTCCCAGTCCTGTAACTCTCATTATGGCGGTCTTGGCCTCCACAAACACTTGTGATAAGGGGAGCTCTGTTTTGGCGAACAGAAACAGAGGAGTAACGAAGACAATAAAGAAGATGCAAGTCCTCCTTGCAGGGATCTCGTGAGAGAGCTCTTTGGTGGGAAGTAAACTTCCTCTTTTTGGTTTTTTTATAAATGCATTCAATGTTAACTACAGAGATGTTCACGTCTCTAATTATAAAGACGTGATAGAAACAAAGAGATAAAACCAAATCTAATGAAAACAAATCCAAATCCTAACCAAAGTAGAAAAGAAATAAAACGATAACGATGGCTGTCTTGATGGGCAAGTAAGCCACGAAAAGCCCATTAGAGACACAGGCTTGCGCTGCATCATGTCCCTCCCGGTAGAGAAGGATTCGGCCGCGAATCCAGCTGGTCATTGTCACCATGGAACTGTGACAAATGTTTCACATTGAAGACGTCATGCGTATGCAAATGAGGCGGTAGGCAAACGCGATACGCATTGGAGTTAATACGTTCAATGACCTCCACGGGACCAATCTTCTTGGACTTCAACTTGTTATACTCACGAAGAGGTAGGCGTTCGCGAGTCAAGTAGACCCACACTTGATCGCCGGGCTGAAACTCCACCACTCGACGCTTTGCATCGGCCTTAGCTTTGTAAGTAGATGTCATGTCCACAAGGTGCTCACGAGCTTTCTTATGAATGGATTCTAAATTCTCCACAAAATCAAGAGCTTGGCCATGAAAACGAGTAGGATCAGGCAACGGAGCTAAGTCAAGGGGACAGCGAGGAATAATACCATAAACCACATGAAACGGGCTGGCTCCAAGGCTGCGATTAAAGGCGTGATTATGCGCAAATTCAGCTTGACACAACTTTGCATCCCAGCTCTTAATATGATCTCCCACCAAACACCGTAAAAGATTGCCAAGAGAACGATTAGTGACCTCTGTCTGGCCATTCGTTTGGGGGTGATAAGCCGAGCTCATGTCCAAACTAGTGCGAAGTAATTTCCACAACGAACGCCAAAAATGACTGAGGAACCGGGAGTCACGGTCAGACACAATAGATTGAGGCAACCCATGAAGCCGATAAATTTCTCGAAAGAACAATGTGGCGACGTTGATAGCATCCGTAGTCTTCTTACATGGAATAAAGTGAGCCATTTTAGAAAAACGGTCCACTACAACAAATATCGAATCATGCCCACGTTTAGTGCGAGGAAGTCCCAAGACGAAGTCCATGCTAATATCTGTCCATGGCTGAGATGGAATTGGAAGAGGGAGATATAATCCAGCATTTGTAGACTTCCCTTTAGACTGTTGGCACACACGGCACCGCTCCACATATCGGGTCACATCTCGTCGCAACGTCGGCCAGAAATAAGAAGTGGAGACTAATTGCAATGTTCTATCGCGGCCCACATGGCCCTCATTGTGTAGCTCACCGATTATCTGAAGTTGTAGGCTACACTCCGGAATACACACTCGCAGTCCATGGAAGAGGAAGCCGTCATGGAGCGAATAGTCATCCGAGAGACCTTGTTCCGCATCCGTAAAGAGCCTAGCAAAGAACAGATCCGTCTTATAAAGTTCCGCAAACTCAGAGAAACCCGGCACTGACGTATGGATCGTAGACAGCAGTGTGTGACGACGGCTGAGTGCATCGGCCACACGATTGGTCTTCCCGGATGTATGCCTTATGGAGAAGGTGAATTGCTGGAAATAAGCTATCCAAGAAGCATGGCGTGAAGATACCTTTGCTTGGCTATCAAGATGGCGCAACGCATCATGGTCCGTAAAGAGGATGAAATCTCGGTGAACGAGATAATGGCGCCAATGTTTAATAGCTTGAACTATTGCATAGAATTCAACGTCGTAGGTGCTGTAACGTTGACGTGCTCCCGAGAGTTTCTCGCTGAAAAATGCAATGGGCCGCCCATGTTGGCTCAAAACCGCGCCAATACCCAACTTAGAAGCATCGCAATGAAGTTCAAACGTGGCTGTGAAGTCTGGAAGAACCAAGATTGGGGCTGTCGTTAACTTGTGCTTGATTAACTCAAATGCAGCTGTCGCCGCCAGAGTCCATTCTAGACGCCCCTCTTTCATGCAGTCCGTGATTGGAGAAACAATAGCGCTAAAATTTTGGACAAAGCGGCGATAAAAAGATGCTAACCCATGGAAGCTGCGTACGTCCGTGACTGTTGTTGGTAATGGCCAAGATCGAATAGCTTCTACCTTAGAAGAATCCACAGCAAGACCTTGGTCAGAAACAATGTAACCCAAGAATTTTACTTCGGACGTGCCAAATTCACATTTCTGTCTAGCACCGTAAAATTGTTCTTGACGAAGTACCATCAATACGGACCGAACGTGGGACAAGTGCTCGGAAAGTGAGATGCTAAAAATCAGAATGTCATCGAAATAGACGACCACAAACTTGCCGATAAATGGTCGGAGAGCTTGGTTCATAATCCGCATAAAAGTACTTGGCGCGTTGGAAAGGCCAAATGGCATGACGAGCCATTCAAAGAGACCTTCTCAAATTTTAAATGCAGTCTTCCACTCATCACCAGGTCGGATACGGATATGGTGATAACCGCTCTTCAAATCTATTTTGGAAAAAACACAAGCCTTACCAATTTAATCAAGTAAATCGTCTAGCCGAGGAATAGGAAACCGGTAGCGGACGGTAATCTTGTTAATAGCGCGACTATCAGCACACATTCGCCACGTGCCGTCTTTCTTAGGGATGAGCAATGCCGGTACAGCACACGGGCTGAGACTCTCCCGGATATGACCTTTCCGTAATAAATCCTCCACTTGTCGACGTAATTCTTCATGCTCACTAGGGCTCATCCGATAGTGTGGTCGATTAGGAAGCGATGCACCCGGAACAAGGTCAATGTGATGTTGTATGTCACGTAACGGAGGCAAACCCAAGGGGAGATCAGAGGGGAACACGTCCGCAAATTCAGCTAGTAATGATTCAAACGCTTGGGGAATTACCGCGGGGTTGCTAGTATTGGCCGAATAGAGGGGGATCATGGCGAGAGCCATACCTTCTTCGCGAAATGCCAGTTCGAAATCGGCGTGAGAACAAAGAATTGGACTAGGGGCAGCAAGAGTAGACGTTGGGGAAGCTCGAGGGAGAGGAGGAGACAACGATGGCTCCGGTGAAGGAAGTAGCAGTATCTTGTGCGTCTCCCAATAGAACTGATATGTGTTGGCCTCACCGTCATGAATGATCTTGCGGTGGAATTCCCAAGGCCGCCCAAGGATCAGATGACAAATGTCCATGTGAGCTACGTCGAAATAGAAACGGTCCTTGTAGTATGGGCCAATAGAAAATGGAACCAAAGCTCGACGAGAGACCTTTGTAGCAACACCGTCTTGGAACCAAGTGAGAGAGTACGGGGTCGGGTGAGGTTCGGAAGGGATGCCAAGCTTCTGGAGAGCAGAGGCTGAAACGACGTTCCTAGAGCTGCCGGAGTCGATGATGAAGGTACAGATGCGGTCTCGGATCGTACATGAGGACCTGAAAATGTTGGTGCGAAGCCAATGTTCCTCACGTTGCTGTGGAGTGAGACACGTTCTGTTTAAGACTAAAGAGATACCCTTGTCGCCACTCGTGTGATGAAGAGGTTCCTCCGTCTCTTTCTCTACTGAAGTAAGGTCATCACACACGTCATCGTCGTCTTTTAGGTTCTCTTCAGTAAACAACCATCCACGTTTGTAGTTGGGACAGGCCGTTTGGCGGTGCCCAGGCTCGCCACAAGCGAAACAGCGCAAAGCATTGCGAGAAGACCGACGAAGGCCTGGATCATCTTCTTTAACCACTGGTTTGTTGTCCATCTTTGGTTGGTCAACAGCGTTACGAGGAGAAAAACCACCCGGAACAGGACTTTGGTCAGAGCTGCGAGAACGAGAGCCAGGAGTTGACCATGAAGGTGTTCGCTGCTGCTGTTCAAACGAAGACGCACGGCGATGAGCTTCAGCAACCGAATCAGGATCAAACTGGCACATTGCGTTTTGGAGTTGAAGACGTAAGCCTCCAATGAAGCGAGAGACAAGTTGAACTTGGCTGTCATAAACTTCATTTCGCGATAGTAGCAAGTAGAACTCCTCAGCATATTCATCCACGGTACGCGAACCTTGACGCAAGTTTTGTAACTTGGTGTAAATCGTACGGTCATAGTTATGTGGCATGAATGTTTCTTTTAACTTCTTCTTGAGCTTTTCCCAAGAACGTATGGGATCTTTACCACTTCTCGATCGAGTAGCTTTGGTTTGCTGCCACCATGACGCCGCATGGCCACGAAAACGCGTCACCACAAGAGCAACTCGGCGATCATCCGGTACAGATTTGAAATCAAGTATCTCTTCGACAGCAAAAAGCCAATCCAGCAACGCATCTCCTCGAATTCCCCTGTGAAATTCTGGAATTTCCACGCGGAAACTTGACTCCCACCTTGAATCGTGCGGACGTTGTTCCAGGTCACGGCCGTAAGCTTCGGTGCGAGGGCGATGTTCGACGATCGGTAAGTGAGCAGTTCGCTTTACCGTAGTCGCAGGTCGGTTGGTCTGGGCTGTGATAAGTCGGTCAATAGCTTGAGTCATGGTGTCTAGTGACGATTGTAGGGTAGCTTGCAAATTTTCATTTGACGTCAACAAGATATCACGCAGATCTGACAAGTTGAAAGCCTTTCCATCTACGCTAGAACCAGTAGGGTTTGGTTTAGTGGTTGGTGCCATAAAGTCGATGAGACCGGATCGGAATGGCTCTGATACCAACTGATAAGGGGAGCTCTGTTTTGGCGAACAGAAACAGAGGAGTAACGAAGACAATAAAGAAGATGCAAGTCCTCCTTGCAGGGATCTCGTGAGAGAGCTCTTTGGTGGGAAGTAAACTTCCTCTTTTTGGTTTTTTTATAAATGCATTCAATGTTAACTACAGAGATGTTCACGTCTCTAATTATAAAGACGTGATAGAAACAAAGAGATAAAACCAAATCTAATGAAAACAAATCCAAATCCTAACCAAAGTAGAAAAGAAATAAAATGATAACGATGGCTGTCTTGATGGGCAAGTAAGCCACGAAAAGCCCATTAGAGACACAGGCTTGCGCTGCATCAACTTGTCTAGACAGAAATCCTACCTAGAAGTTCAATAAGACTTGGTAAATATTTAGTAAAGCATTTGTAATATATATGGCTGACCTTTATCACTTTGACACTAATATGTTTTCTATCATTGCAGGAGGATATATATGGCCGACCTTTATCACTTTGACACTAATATGTTTTATATCATTGTAGGAGGTTATATATGGCGGACATGTATCACTTGGGGAAGTTTTTATGGAAACTCATACCAGGCCAGATGGAACTTTTGTGGATGTAAAGGCTAAACAAGTGGCTCAGTCATATGAGAAGACCTTAGCAGATATAATGAGTCAGCTGGATGTCGATGGTCCTCACACTGCAGAATATTCAGACCATCAATCCTCACCAAGAACCCTAACTGTTCAAGAAAAAGATGACATATTTCTCAAGGTACTTTATTTTTCTTAAGTTAATTGTCTCGGTTTCTCACTTCATTCTCTGATTTTGCTAATACTTATTGTTTTGCTTTGCTAATGATCAGTTTCTGATTTTTATCTGTTGAAGTCTAGTTTTGATCACTTTTTCAATGATAGTCATGATATGTAACAATACTTAATGACTTTTAGATTGTCTGCTTTATTCAACTGATAATTAACATTGTCTGTCTTATTCTAATTGGTTTTGCATCATATTTTTTTGTGTGTAGTGTACTGTCAAAGATGACAAGGGAACGCCCTTTGGGATTGGCACTCTTGCTGAGGTTATTAACAAAGAGAAGAGAAATTACTGTTATGGAGGCTCTTCTTCTTCCTCATTTTTAGAGTTGCAAGAACAACTTGAACCTGCTCGTGTTAAGCTCGCTAAAGTTGACCAAGAAAATGCAAGGCGTGATGAGGAGCGAGAACAAGATCAAAGCCGTATAATAAGCTTGGAGATGCTAGTCTCCTACTTGAGAACCATTGATCCTGGATTTTTAGAGTATATGGCAACTGCCGCCACTCCACCTCCTCTAGCACCAGCCACAACACCTACAACCACAACAGCAAACGGACCAGGCACAGGAGACAACGCACCTGCTACTGTATCAGTCACATGAGCCAATTCAGCAGCTGCTTCACCCATCTCAAACACTTCTGCAACCTCTCCTAGATCTAAATAATTTAAAAGCTTGATTGATATTTTGTGAATGTTTTGTTGAATGTTTGGATGGATGTTTGATGAATGTTTGGATGGATGTTTGTGAATCTTTTCAGGTTTGGGACTAATAGTTTTGGTATGTATATAGATCGGCTTTGATTTTTTAGTTGATTTTTTTTTCCGATTATATTTCTATTTAGTCACAAATCCAAGGTTATGAACTCTCACCCCTTTGTGACCAATACCACCCAAAACAAAATGTCACATATCCGTTAGTAATTTGTGATTGTTTTGCTAATGGAGTGCAAGAATTGACATCGATAAATGGCGACTAATTTGTGACTCTTTCGGATAGTTTATGTTTTTCCTAAATCCGTCGCTAAGACTTTAGTCTTTAAAACGTTGCAAAGTTACTACGAGATATATCGTTATAACTTTGTCTTAGTATGCGACTAAATCCGAAAGTCTCAAAGTAGTCGCTAATCCCCACAGTTGGTAATCCGTCGCTATTTCCTACTCTTTTCAAACGTCTTTATTCAGTCGCTAATATGTGATGCAAACTATTACTGGCATTTGGACCAGCACATAAGCGAAGTTATCCAAACCACTTTGGTTGCGATAACAGCCCAAGACAATTGGTAATGGATTAAGTGTTACTTAGGTACTTTCCCCCCTTCAAAGGTTTTTTCCTAATAGGTTTTTAATGAGGCTTCAGTAACGCTTCTAAACCCCCCCCCCCCCTTTTATATATTAACTAGTTAGTTGCCCGCGCTATGCGACGTGAGTTTTATTATATTGTTGATGAGTAATTGGTTCGTATTTTATTTCCTACTTATTTTTTGCACTATAACATATATATATTTTATCTTAGATTGTGTTTGTATAAAAACCATGTTGAGTTTTTAGCTTCATTAGTAGTTGAAAAATTAAGTGTGTACAATATAGGTCGATGTGTGGGTGTAAAGGGAAGTACGGTGGAAAATCAGAGAGAAACATGTGCTATTAGGGTTCCTACCAGATATAGATCTAGATGTTAATATTGTGAGCAACTTCAACATGTTGACTCGAAAGTTGAAAATGATTAGTGGGTTTCGGGCGGATTGTTATATTTTTTTATTAGTTACATTATCTCTTAATATATTGTCATAATTAAGTTTTTTGTTTTACTTTTTTTTTTTTGGATTTGACGTAAATTATATCTCGTTATGATAATTTTTATACAATTATATATTCGTTTCTGATTTTCTGTTTTATATATTTTGTATTTTCATATGAATTTTTTTAAAAATTTAACATATTAGTATAATTTACTTTACAAAATAAGGTGGATGATGATTAGGATGATGAGGTGGCTTAAGGAGAATATTGAAAATTTAACTTTATATATATACTAGTTGTTGATCCGCGCTGCGCGCGGGAAGTTTATAATTTTATTATATATTTTTTGATTTTTTGATTTTTTTTTCTTTTTTTTTTGCAACGTTTGTTTTGTTGGTTTTATTGCTTTCATTTTTTGTTATTCTATAATTCATATGGATTGTTTTTTAAGGTTTATATTAGTTTAGTATTTGAAATGTTTATTGTTATTTGTTTAACTGTAAATTAGGCTCAACAGTAGGTGGTACAACCTTATACTTTATAAGATTTTAATTATTGTAACCCTCACAAACTGTTAGTCACCCTCACAAAGATTTTAATTAAGTAGCTCACCATATGTATGCATTTAGTCAGTTCATCTTGTATTAAAGCAACACTATAGAATGATATAAATATAATTATTTGCATATCTATTGGTTCTTATATAATAGATATTTTCTCCTTAATAATAGTCTTTTAAAAAGAAGTCATTTTGTTGTGTGTAGATGAACAAAATTGTAGATTCAAAAATGACGTTGTTTTACTCACCTTTTACGCCCCGTTATTGCCACTCTGTCATTTGACTCATCCGTTAAATGGTCATTATTTCGAGAGATGTTAAAATCGGCTAATTTCATTGATTTTTAGTGAGTTAGGTTGAAATTTACATGGTATCAAAATTTAGGTATTAAAGAACTGTCATGATGAATAAATGAATGAGATTTTAAAGATTTTAATTTAGTCATGTGCATTATTATCATTTCAAGTTTTAGTAATTTATTTTAAACACTTTTAACTACAATTCCATAGTCATTATCTACTATACATTATTGTCTTTCAACATCTACTTTATTTTCACCTTCTATTGGCTCATATATAACATATATTTGATTTAAATTGATTTTCACAACATACTATAACTATTTAATTTCTCTTCAAATACTATCTTAAAATACTCAAATTTGGATTAAAAGCATTTGATTCAATTTACAAAATATCAAATTCTTTTTTTCTTTTTGATCATGTTATAAACTAATATTTCACTTTCAAATTTATTTTTCCTATTTAAAATTTTATATACAACTACATAAATGTTGTTTTATTCTACCATAAATTTTAAATTTTAAACTATGATCAATTTAAAATAAAATTTAAATTAAATTATTACCACTAATAAAAAATTAAAATAATATTTTCATATTTTAACATAAGATTTATTTTCCATAATTAAGTTTTATTTATATAAACTTTCTATTAATTAAATAAGTAACATAAATATGCACTAAATAGATGTTTTATGCACTAAATAGATGTTTTAAAATTATTTTAATGTAAAAATAAAAATGTTGCTTAGGTAGATGCTTAGGTGGCATCATGAGAAGTGAGAAAAGCTAACTTTATATATATAAATATATTGGCTCAGCCCATTAAGGGTCTGACTGGTTTAAACGCAGCGGTTGCGGGAGTTTGCGGAAGCAGGCGGTTGCGGGAGTTTGCGGAAGCGGGCGGTTGCGGTTTGATGCAGCGCACAATCTCCTCTTGATGGGCTTCGTCAAAGGCTTTCGTGCCCATCAAGCTACTGTTCTTTTGTTTTTGCATTTCGTTTTAATTATCGGTTTTTTATAAGGATTGCTTAGTTTTGGCTTTATCTCTCTTGTTAGGATTTTGTTTTGATTTCTATCACAGCCCTATAATTAGGAGCTGCTGAACATTTGTAAGTTTAGTTCATGTTGCATTAATCAGAAAAACCCAAAAAGAGGTAGACTTCTACCCAAAGAGCTTTGTAACCAAGGCCCTGCAAGGAGGACTTGCGACCCCTTGTGTTGATATCGATTCCTATAATCGATCTCTACACTTTCTTATCTCTTTGTTCCCTCATCTTCTCTTTTCCCCATTGAAGAACTCGTGCTCTGTTTCGGAAACGTCAAAACAGAGGATCGTATCTCTTCCTCCTTCTTGGTTCCCCCTTATCAGTTGGTATCAGATTCTTCTCGATCCGACCGTATCCTTCCGTCATGCCTCCAGCAAAACCAAATCCTACCGGTTCTAATCCCCCTGACCACAGCTTCGATTTAACCGACTTGCGTGATGTTTTGCTCACATCCAACCAAAATTTGCAGGCTACGTTGCAGGCGTCACTTGATGCGATAACTCTG